GCATTCCGTGCCAACCGGTTCTTTTATTTTTATCAAAAGAAGCTAGAGAATAATTTTAACTCATTTTACGGTTGTTCATATAGGTACAATATTTAAGAAGAATTCTTAAATAGGATAAGGAGATAACGAACATTATTCAATATCAAAGTCCATAAAACAATACAAAATAGGAGCAGAGCAAACATGGACCTCCAAACATCATAGGTGGGATCAGGTGCCATGGAGGAGTGAGCATCCCCTGCTGACCGGTCACACCTGCTGTGCGCTCATGATCGGAAAATAACGGAAAAATCCGTCGTCAATTCAGTGTATGAATAATGGAGTAATAATAAGTATGAAAAACGTCAGTCAGCATTTGACTCAATGATACATTGTACTTGCTGACAAGGTCATTGTATCGACCATAGAACTTACGAAATGATGACTTTAAACGGGACTGCTGATATTCTTTTTTCATCAACTTGCTTGTCAATAATTTACCTCGTTTAAGAAATAGTTCAAAAAGCATGCTCCTGCGTATGGAATCAACTGAGATATATACACTCCGTATGCAGGTGTTGAAGGTGTATTGCTGCATAAGTAAGGGAAGTTGACGATAGAAAAGTTAAAGTCGTCCCTTTAATCATATAGCTTGGTTGTTAGCTAGGTTACCATTAACGTCTTCTTTAAGTAAAATACCCAAGTATGAAACAGAGACATCTTTCTGAGAAATTGATACATAAAAATGTAATAAGTAATTACTAATTAGATTCAAGTGTATTCGTCAAAGATTTTGATGAGTAGTAATTTTAGGCTCAAAAGTAATGAAGTAATTTATGATTAAAAATGTTCAGAGTTACCGGCATTTGGATGCATTGTCCAGACTAGTCAAGCTGTGTTAGGGTAATTAAGAGTAGAGCAGTGTCTAGTGTGGTCAAGAATAATGAGTCTTTAATGAGTGGAGCAAAGGGAGCTATTGTTCGTAGAATCGGGTATCGAGTTAAGGTCAAGCTAGGTTATGACAGTTTGATAAGGATTTGATAAAGATATATGTAGAGTTGGAGTTAGTCAATTAATAGGATGGAGCTAATGTTTTAGATAATCATCTGTTGGAGCTAAGATTCGTATATAATAAGTGTGACATTTTGAGAAGGTAGGAGTGCTTTGCTAGGATTTAGACAGTACATATGCTAGCATAAATGTAACATCTTTCGTTTGTATTGTGCCTCTTCATTGTATATATGTAAATAAATAAGTGCTCTGTTTACTGACTTTTTATTGGATTTAGCATTACAAGGATTTATTAACCAGGGATATATTGATTACAATTGGATATACATAAAGTGGAATTAAAAAGTTATAATTGCTCGGTCACCTCCGTGACAATTTTCTTATCTTTTAGGACTTATCTGACTTCTATCAATTCGTCGGGAAAGCAAACAACAGAAATATCCACCATTTTGATAAGCTTTGGCATTGTTAACCCTACGATTTTTTTTCTTTTTGATCTTGTCAAATCAAGATATAAATTGTCAATTCACAAAATAAAACAAATATCTCTTAAAAGTCAAAATCGACAGCAGAATAAGTTTCTGTCATACTAAAAAAGTAGACTGCAATTTTTAAACAAAATCATTTCAACTCTTAATCTTCCACACGTGTAAGCTTCTGTGTAAATCTCGACAACATTAACATGACTTTATCTCAGGCATTTTGGGAACAAAAATAAGTTTGAGATCAATTATAACATAACTATCGGAATATCCTTTCTGACATATTTTATTTGCAGATTTTATTTGATAAATAAATATGTCAGAGAGGGCAGGGAGAAAATAAGTATGATCAGCAGCATTTAAAAGGTTTTTGATTTGCAGGTTTAAAATGTAATATTTTTCAAAATTTTCGACACTTTACTTCAATTATTAATATAAATAATGTTCTGATAAGTAAGAAGAAAAATAAAGAAAAGTAATGATGTATGTATTAAAAAAATAATAACAGAGGTGCTCACAATTGTTGTAAGACAAATATCCTCTTTCAAGTAAAACAATTTTGTAAGATAAAATGGCCAATCAGAATTTCAAAGATGGTCAAAACTTTTGAGGATTATACTGTCGATCATTGAAGAATGCATTTACTAGTATCCTGCATAGCCTTACAAGCCGAAACCAATTCTAATAAATACATGTAGTAAATCTTTCCAAAATTTAAAATTTGTTTAAAGATTTCATTTTAAACTATTTCTTTTCCATGATTTTTTTTAACACTAACTGATACATTTCTATAATTTAATTAAAGAGCGCGGATATTTGGGTAAGTATTTATTAAGACATGTCAGTGATAGAGAGGTTAACGTAGAATAATGAGCATACTGATAAGTTAAAAGAGGTCCTGTTTTCTCCGATCGATTATTTAAATCACATTTCAGTGTAACTAATCAACAATCTTCGTCATTATTGATTACTTCCTGGTCTTTTTCGTAGGCTGACCAACCTGTTACTTTCTTTTCAAACTCTGGTAAAATTTATTATTGAATGTTTTCACCTCAGAATTTAAAGCCTAAAACTTGTATTCTTTATATAATTATTTATTTTAAATATAATGTTTATCTTTTGGTTTGGTAACCGTCCCTTCGACAACTTTGCATCACATTGTACAGAGTTTCATATTATATGGTATAACATGTGAACTTAAGTACAAGTAAAGAAAAAAATAACTGTCTCGTTTAATTTCACTTTGCAAAAATTTAATTAACATGTAGTTAATCAATTCATAATATTGCAACAAAGTTCGAAAAAAGCCATTTTTAGCATAAAGGTAACAATCGAGGTCATAAGGTCATTGATCTTGGTATTGTTTGAAAGAAATTGATAAGTGGAGTATGCATACCAAATATAAAGTCTCTATCTCTCATGGTATAAAAGTTATGATGAAGGTTCAAAAAAGCTATTTATGCATTTAGTTCACAGTCAAGGCCACAAGGTAATTGGCCTTGGTGTCATTTGAAAAGGCATCATGCGTGGAGTACGCATATCAAATATAAAGTCTCTATCTTTCTTAGTTCAATAGTTATGGCGATGGTTAAAGTCTGAAGAAAAAAATATTTCAGCATATAGGTCGCAAGGTCATTGACCTTGGTATTATTGAAAAGAGCTTAAGAAGTAGAGTATGCATATCAAATATAAAGTCTCTATCTTTAATGTTAAAAAAGTTATGGCGAAGTTTAATATTAGCAGAAAAAAAGTTATTTTTAGCATATAGGTCACAGTCAAGGTCACAAAGTCATTGATCTTGGTGTCATTTGAAAGATTTTTTAGTAGAGTACGCATACCAAATATAAAGTCTGCATTTTTCATGGTTCAAAAGTTATGACGAAGGTTAGAGTTTGCAGACAAACAGGCAAACGAACAGACAGGACAAAAACAATATACACTGTACGTCCGCATTAAAATGAAAACTCCGAAACCTTAGTTCAAATTTCAAGAACATTATCAGTTTTATGTAAAGATAAGAGGAGTATTCTTCAGAAATATAATAATAATCTTTTATAAAGATGCTCACAGGATAAGATATAGTTGTTTGCATCTAAAATATACACGATAAAAAGAAAGGTTTTCATTTGAGTCTAATTTAGGAAAATCTAATTTGGATGAACAAAATGAAAATGTTGGTGTTTTGCTTCATTATACTGCTAAACAGATTAAGTTCATAGACATACTGTATATCCAAAACCAGTGAATATAAAGCGCAACAAATAATGAGAAATATAAAAAAAGTGGAGATCATGATGATCCACTCGTACTTTATTTTCTATTTTCAAAACTCTTATGATTTTTTCTGTACTTTTCTATAATCTAATAAGAAAAATAAAAGAAAATCATAATTATATAATAAAGTTCTAGCTGCCCTCTTTCTTTTTGTATTTTTAAGTTATCTTGATTGCATTTGTATAGAAAAGAAAAGTTGTAAAACTAAGTCAATATTTCTTAGTTCGCATATCTTCGCATTACGTAAGATTCTGAACTATCAGTGCCATTGCTATGCAAGAAATCTTAAGATAGCTTTTCAAATGTCTACAGTCCCAAATTTAGACAAGACACACTCCTAAAAAAGGAATAAAATTAATGCAATCGTTGATGTTAGCCTTTCATTTAAGCAGGGATCTATAAAATGAATAGTATATAGTTCATGGACTGTAGATGTGAAGTAATAGTACACAACTTCGTCTTTGAAAACTGTATTTTGTTTTTCTGTGCTTCCTTGATTTAACCAATCAGCTTTAAAGGGTTGCCCGATAAGCAAGGACAATGATACATGTAGAAAGAGCGAAATAAAGTAGTTCACTAACATCTATACATTTATCAATTATTATTAGATAATTAAAATGTTACTTAAACATAATTACTGCAATAAATTGTAATTATTATTACGTTCATTGGTATCTAGCAAATATGAAAAAAATAAAACTCAGAGTTGAGATTTGTTTACTAGATAGATATTGAAAGTTATGTTTTTACATAGAAAGAAACAAATGAAACTGGCTGAGAAGAATTTTTTACATACAATATCCAAATAGCAAATTCTTTTTAAATTGAAAACTAAACATTATTTTACATTCTCAATTATATACTAGTAGATAATTTTAAAAAGTGCCTGCCTACCCTATCAACGTATACTTGTTTTCAAAAAAAATTTGTTATCTGTTTTCGTGATAATTCGTTATTTATGAGCTTTTGCATGGTTTGATAGGATATTTACATTACAGCTCTTCTTTAAAAGGATTTCGATTGCTTCTTCTTTCTTTTTTAATTTTATATAATTTAAGTAGTAGATAAATAATCGTGCAATATAAACGTCGATTAAGATTACGATTTTGTTCATTCTTTTTTTTATCTTTCTGATGATGTTTGCTGTCCTCTTTTATCTACCAATGGTTAGCTTCATTCCAAGATAAAGCGCACGTAAAGTGAAAAGTTTAAAAATGATAAAATAAAAATTGAACATAACAAGTACAGTTAAAGATAAGAATCAAAAACGATTTATAACCATAAGAAAGCTGATCAGTACTTCATTCGGAAACGGGAATGCAATGTGGCAAGTTTTGATTTTCCCTGCTTTTGCAGGTGCAATCCTCATACCGGAGGGCTGCCAAAACATCCCATTATGTGGTCAGTTACCTTGGTCGGAGTGGGGCCTCTGTAGTCGTACCTGTGGAGGGGGATCACAGACCAGGAAGAGAGAGGTGTGTGGTTTACAAGAATGGAACGAAGAAGATGTGGAGGACCAATGTGGGAAACCACCTCGGCTGGAGTACAGAGTTTGTAATACGAATTGCTTCAATGGTGGTATATTTGCCGATGACATCTGCATCTGTTATCATGGAAAAACTGGGAGATGCTGCGAAAATGGTCGGAATTATCTTTTTTAATATCGTTTTTAAAATAATTAAATCTGATACACATTTCTTAATCTTAAATTATTTTCAAAGAAGATGTAAACTGCCTTAACAAAGATACTTGTAAAGCTATAGCAGTTATATATTGATTAACTTTAAGTTATCAAAAGTACTTCTCTATGAAATCAATTTTAATGAGGTTACACTTGAATCAGTCATTAACATTAGTACAAATTTTTGTATTAGATAAGGTTTTTTTTTAAATTTTAAATCTTCTTTGCATTCAAGAAAAACTTAGCTCTTTTTTTAATATTCGTTTCATTCCTTTTAAAAAAAAATATTTGTTTGTAGTCTTTTCTCCCACTTCTGCTTAAAACCAGCGGGTTGATATCAAAAGTTTTTTGCACAGAATTAACTATTTAACACAAATTAACATCTACGATGTATTTCATCATTCGTTGGTACATAATACCAGATCTGTATTTTGCGATATGAATTTTTTTTTTAAAAAAAACATGGCATCTGATTGGTACTGTTTTTAAAATCAAGAAATTACTTCATTGGAGAAACTTGTTACATCAAAGGAGAAAGCGTCTTCATTTCTTCGAGAAGTTGGTATACGATCTAAGAGGGACCACCATATCGATGAGGAGTGTAGTGAATCGGGTTCCTGTGATCACGAGGAGGTTGAAGAGTGGATTAGTTATAAGCATGATCCTAGAGACGTGGTGTGTTCTTATATCAATAATAGAATGTTTAGTCTTGTGAAATAACACGAACCTTCGCACTTAGAACTTTATAATTGTAATTATTTTTGAAAAAAGAAAATTTTTCTATGTTTGAAAAAATTACGTGTATAAATTCTTTGAACACAGACTGGGCACTTGAAACATTTTAAATCTCAATCAACCCTTTATTTTGAAAAAGGATTATAATCAATATGGTCTTGCGATTTGGTTGTTACTACTTTATTGTGTACCATAACTTAAATTATAGTGCACATGGATGAAAGACAGGCGATGTAATGAAAGAAGCTGTGGAGCTGGCTATCGCTGTATAACGATTAATCGTGACTGTAGTCGGTATAGCCATTATCAAGTGGGATGTACAGGTAAGGAAAAATATACAGCAGTATTACATGACGTCAGTATTGGTGAAATCCCAAAAGAAATAAAGTAAACTCAAGTTACTGTTACACATCATGTTTATTTTTGTATGTGCAAGCTATTCGTATAGTATATGACATTGCATCTGGTGCAATAAAAAGAAGGTACCTTAGGCACCAAAATCCGCCTAGTCCCAAAATCTGGTGATAATATTTAAATAATGTGTCTTGGATACCCCTGTTCTAAATCAATTTATTTTTTGAAAATAATTCAAACCGTTTTCCCTACACAACTCACTAAAAATGCAATGTTTTCTTAAGAAAATAACACTGACGACGTCATGACGTGATAACGTTCACATGGCGTTATCAAATTTCAACGTAATGATTCCTGTACAGCGTAAAGAATTGCACATTTCTCAACCTAAAAAATAAATTCATATTTAAATCTATTACTTATCTTTTTTTTTATTTAATCTGTTCTAAATTAAACGTTTCAGTTTTTTTTCTTTGTATGAATTGATATATACAATAACCATGGGTCATTTAAAGAGATAATTTTCCGAGAAAAACTATTTCATCAAGAAAGCGTATTTATTGTCAGTATTTTTCCCCTCTCCATTTCTCTAAAATTCATTATAATAATTAAGATACTACATTAAATTTTAAAATACCAGTATACGATACAATCATGCTCACCTTTTATTTACTTATTTAGGTATATACATGTACGGGAATATACATACATAATACTATGTACGTACACTTGAAAGCGCAAGGTGTGCTTTTATACTGCGAATAAAATCTTGAATGCAACATAAAAATCAGTTTTTATGCCAGCATTTTCTTTGATTTTTTTTTTCTATTCAAGATTTATTTTTGATTAAGCTAAGACATTTACATGTATATTTATCTATGCATTACTTTGTTTCGGTTTTATTACAACAGTATAGTACTTTTCAGGCACGTAGCATCGTTTTTGAAAATGGGGAGTGGGGCAATCTGAAAATTTTTTTTTACTTAAAAAAGTTGATTAGCAAAAAATCAAAACAAAACAAAAAAACCCGCAAAATTAAAAGTTGCCCAAAGTCGAAAATCCTATTTCGTGTGGGGGGGGGGGTGTGTTTATAACACTGTACTGTGCTGAAACGTGGAGGGTCCAACCTTACTTTGAGTAAACATTTTCTATAGTAAAGGTAATGTCCGGAGAAAAAGTGGGGGGGGGGAGCCCCACCCCCACCACCTGATACTACGTCCCTGCTTAAAATAGTACATAGATTTACTCATTATTGATAAGAAGCTCAATAAGGTTACATATTTTTTTAAAAACAAAGAACAGACAAATATATTTATCTTACGTTTATGAAAGAGAAAATATCCCCAACGACGACAGCTATGTCATCCCATGTCCTTCTGACAATCACATATCATCTGTATTTAGTATTTGTGATAGTGGGGTCTGTTATTATGCTTCTTTAATAATGTACATTGCACATGTATTAATAATTATGACATGAAACGGTCATCCATCCAAAGGTTTCACAGGCTTGCCGTGTAACCTGACTTACTAGAAAGGAAGTATAAGTTGAATATACAGTGTACTTTCCGCAGCCCCCACCCCCTCCTTTCGACCCTAAGCTTAGCATGAGTTTCTCCCTTAGTGTCTGGACCTCTTCAGTACCAATATGTCGTCCACGAATACAAAGTCTGTACCTGGACACAAAGTCCAAACCTTGGAGCTTCTCGATGCTAGCTCAGACTTCCTGAAGCAAAGTCGTCAAACTGCAGAGTCACAACGCTTCCATCAATTTTGTGAATTTCCGCGATTTTTAAATATCTATACATGTACGGTAAGCACTTATCATCAAACGATTGCCAAAATATGCCTGCATTTTATACATTTAAATATGTGATGAACTCCACCATGCTACAAAACATTCTCGCAGCTTTACATTTTGTGCATGCAACTGCACATATAGTCAATTGTAAGTTTGTTGTGTGTATTCAGAACTTCTTGGGAAACTGTGTAACAAGGTCACATCATGGAAGAGAACACCACCACTACATACCCCCCCCCCCCCAAATGCTACCCCCAAAACACTATATTTCAGAGACATGAAAACCGTTCCGTACGATTAATATCCATACGTCCTTTTATCAAGTTTAATACAAATAATACATCATGTATATTCATTTTCATTTTTAACAGTCTGCCATATTTGATGTATGTGCATGTATATCAAACAGAATATAAGTCAACATCAATAAAACTGAACTCCTTGTTATTATTTAAGGGACGGCCATTCATTTAATTTACAGTAGGGGTCGCCAATTTTCAGATTATTTACTTTTAAACCACTGTATCACTGAATGAGCTTTTCCAAGATGTTCACAGACCATTTCATTTAATTCCCAGTAAATTAACATGCTAAAAATCAAAACTACGTAGACTACAGTTTTTTTAGCGGGTGTTGATACCCCCAGTCAAGGTCAGAATGTCCAAATGTTCTTGTAACTTTTAGATTTATAGAAGACACCACCCTTCATGCGACAAACAAAATAAGAAGGAGCTAGTGAAGGTTTGATTTTAATCGGACTGCCTTTTATGCATTTACTTATAATGTCGTCAATTGAAATTCAATTGTATTTACTTATTTAAACCGCTGTCTGTTTCAAGTCAACGAAAGAAAATTCCGAATCCGATTTTACACAACTTTTTTGAACAATGACACTAAAATGTAATTGCTGGAGTAAAATAAGGAAAGCAAGTTATAATAAGAAAAAATGCAAGTGCAAGCCAGAAAATGAATCTATATTTATTCATCTGTTTTTTCACACGCACTTATATATCATATTTATAACTCATTCATATGTCCCCCTACAACTTTGTTGCAATTTATGGAGGAAAACAACAATGCGGAGTCAGTTCAAGTATTGTTTTTTTTTAAAGGAAAAACAAGGTACATACATACAAATTGTCACGGGAAGGGGCGGAAGAGGGGGGAGGGGAGGTGAAGATTTCTTTTTGAAAGAACATGTTTATGAAACTAGGTTTCTGAATGTTACGTATGGAATTTTTTGAAATTATTATACAGGTGCTCTCTTCAACGAAGGGACGTGCCCCCACCCCCCAATTTCATAAATTACATTCTATACCTATAAACCGTGTAATGAACTTGTAACATGTATTATGCAATATGCACCACTAAATATACATAAACGCATTGGTTTTTATTAATTTTACATAATACACCGAAAACAATGAAGCCCACTTATATGATCTTAATACCATCCAGTGTACGAGATATTGATATTTACAGCGACAATGACTCGTTTTGTCGGACAGCTTACCTTGAAAAAAAAATAATCTATCATATTTTCTTTTTCTAAATTTCAAAACGTACTTGAGAAGGAACATGCAACAATTTATTTGTTAACAATTTTACAAACAATTTTATTCTTATTTTGAATAAGTAAGCTTAGATCGATTGAATTTACTTTATCAAAAAAAATACCTTCCATATTGATGGTGAAAACAATTTACCTTTCTCGTCCACATAATCTCAGGATCTCTTCATAATTATGAATTGTCATATATCTTTCAAATTACTTTTTCTAAGGAATTTTGAAGTTTTAAAAAATATTATCAACAGCAAGTCAGCAACTTAAAAAAAGTTGAAAGTATTTTTTACACGATCTATTGTGACGTCATCAATGAGTCTATTGCGTAATATTCATAATTATTTCCAGGCGAGAATCAAACAATTACATATCAGTTGCAAAACAAACATAAAAAGTCCTAAATCATGATTATTTAAATATTTTCTTATCTGCGTACTATTACAATCTTTCTCTGTTCAATTTTTTTTTTTGGGGGGGGGGTGCAGATGAACACTAACTTCAATCGTTAAGCATGCTGATCTAATGTTATCCCTATCGATAATTTTCACCTGAACCTGAAGGGTGGATAAAATATATTGTCTACCCAATTTATTGTTTAGCCTATGTTCTTATGATAATGATTAGACTTACTTAATTATTTTGTAACTTTCTAAAAAAAAATAACAGCACTTACGGTGCCTTTAATTGAAAAATAAGTTCACATTAGATTTCTCAACTTGAAATCCGGAATAACAAAGAAGGCATATAAATTCAATTTCAACATTGGCCGCAGCAAACGCGATTCACAAGATGTTGTTAAATCGAAACATTTTTGCGTTATAAAAAATATATGCAAGTTTCATTAATCGCGTTCATTGCGGCCAAAGTGAATTTTGCGATCAAAGATATAAAAACGGCCATTTTTTGAGAATATATTGAAACATGGTATGGTTTTGAGATTTACGTAGCGTTTGTGTGACGTTTTGGCGCCATTTCACATTCGTCATCAGATAGACCTGATCGTGTACAAAATATATCAACACTTTATTTCTGAAGGTATCATTGTTTATTTTTGACGAATTTACTAGGCCGATAGTGGTATCAACCGTATTTTCTTCTTTGTTGCCTCGTGTTTTGAAAGGGGGAGCGGGTCAGAGAAAAAAATCCAACTCACTAGAAAAAAAACCCGAACAGACCAAAAGAGGCCACCTGGCTTCCAGTGAAAAGTCTCATGATTAAATAAGCTATTTTTAAAAGTAGAGAGGGGGTGTACCTCCTTACCTTTCGATCCTTTCAATCCGGCTACACTGAGTGGCCAAAAATATTAATATTGCAACAAACATGACTGACGTCATCATGTAATATAGTGTGCATTAGGGAAAAAAGCGATTTTCAATAATATAAAATTATTATAACTTATACAATTCCTTTGTATTTAGTAGCATAGCCCTTTTGAAGGATAACTTGTCGTAGTCTGGAAGGAATTGACGCATACGGGCAGCGAATGTACGTCTGGGAAAGCCCATTTCAGATTCTTGTGACTTCAGCCAACAAATGGTCCTTGTTTTGAATGTTGTCAATCTAACGAGAGAGTTTGATTTTAACACAACAACAGACATTTATTATTATATTAAGGTCTAGGGATTGAGCAGACAAGCTAAAATTTTGAATACCGTTTTCTTGTTTCTAAGCATTGGTCTGTCTAGCTGCGTGTGGTGTTGTGTTATCGTCTTGCAAAATAAACAAACGATTTCCTAACAAAACTTGCCATAAGTGATTATCTCGCAATTCTATAAACTTTATAAAATTTTGATCTCCATCAACTGGCACAATGACACCAATACCATCGTACGTAATACAATTCCAAAACATACAACTTACTTTTAATTGGTGTTTTCTATGAGGCGCCTTTATGGTATTTACTGCAAAAAAGTGATATCACCTATTCAGTTGGTGATATAATCTATTACGAATAAGTGATATCACCTATTCAGATTTTGAATAAGTGATGTCACCTATTGGAATAGGAATTTCATTGATGCACCTAATCTAGTCTCCATGAACAGCCGAGGAACCAATCTAGCATAAACGTGCAATCTTCTGATGAATTATTAGTAGGTTACGGACAATATTCCTACCATCATTCAACTTATAGAAAATCTTATATTGAACGGTAAACAATGACAGCGTCTTTTGTTGTTACAATTATAGCAGTTTGTCCGTATGTTTTGTACTACATTATTCCTAGGGACTTGATCAAGAAAGACTTCTGAAATCACAAAGAAGATCTAGACTTCCATTTCAATTCTATACTAGAGATTTTTTGATTTTTTTTTGTTCTTTGTATTAATTCTTAATCTCTGAATGTGTTACTAAATCAAACTGGACCACTATCCGGTGCGCCGTAACGTCATTAAACGTCACCATTTTTCGTGTGTTGTGTTTACCACTTACCCATTTCGAATGCTCAGGAAACTGTCAAAAATTAATCAAATACTTTGAAATTCTTTTTTAAAAGACGACAGAATTAATTGTGGAATCGAATAAGGATAATTTTTAACCTAATCTTATCTACTTAAATCTTTTATTTCGAATCAATACTCTCGTATTCTCTAATAAAACCTTCGTTTTTTGACCGTGCGCCATAGGACCGTACCCTGTGCACATTCAAGCGTAATAAACTCTTTATTTTTGTCTATATCTTATCAAAAAAATATGATGCGCTTAAATAAACACTTTCTAAAAATTTCTTCTTTAAATAGTGCGCGCATTATTATTAGAGAAAAACGTTTTGTCCACGATTTTACCGAACAACCCTCGTATATTAAAGCAAACATTGAAAGACTTAATTGCATTCATTTTCTTTAAAGATTTTTTGGTAAAAAAAATAAACCTTTCTATGTTTTAAAATGTCCATACCCAAGTAAAGAAGGGAACATTTTGTAGATGGTCAATGAAAAGAATCTTTTAAATTTTGACAAGGTCCTAATTTTTTTGTTTTATACATACTGTATACAGACATAGACGAATGTGCCAGTAATCCATGTAATCACGGAGGAACATGCCATAATTACCAGAACAGATTTTCCTGCACTTGTCCAGATGAGTATTACGGAACACGATGTGAATACAGTAAGTGGAGTTATCGTTCTTTTTCTATCTTTTATAACCAGGCCCCTATATATTAAGTCAATAGAAATCATTTGCAGAAAGCTATTTTCAATGTTATCACAAGAATTTCAAGAAGAAAAAGCTGTCTTATTGGAAGTTCTTTATTGTTTATTATTTTACGAATACATTTTTTGAATTAAAAAAGTATATAGAAGGAAATAGATTTGAGAAATTATCTCAAGATCAGCAAAGCTTTAATTAGCATTCATAAATCACATGGAAACATGTCAAGGAAATATAAGTTCAAGCTCTGATATAAGGTATTGAAATAATCTGTTCCCCGAAAGACCCTGTAATAATATATAAAAACATTCAAATTTTATTTAGCTTGTAGAAAGCCAGTGAACTGCCTGCATCAAAAGTGTAATACTTGGGATGACTTCATTTGTACCGAGTGTATGAATCAGGGATCAGATCGAAAACACTCAATCTATTACGTTTCCACAGATAGGAAAAAATGTGAAGGTATGCCTACAAATTTACAAGAGAGAAGAACAGATTTTATGTCATTTGCACAATTGTCTAATGAAAACAGAATTGTAAAAAAAGAGTCATCAATACTACAGTGTATATAATATAAAATATATTTGTCAAAGATCTTCCAAAGTGTTTACAATTTTGAATACGTCATTAAATTGTATTACAACAGCTAATAATAGCTATGCTTTGGATAAACAGCTACCTGTTCTTGGAAGCAAAACTGGTGTTGGCCGGGCACTTGCACCCAAAACCTTGCAAAGAATTGCCATTGTAGTAATGGGTTTCACTTGTCATCAAGAGACTCGCACAAAATCTGTAATCGTATGTATAAGAGTAATGACTTTAAGGAGATACATTAAAAAAAGATAATCTGAACATTTCATATAACATCATTAAATTAAATCTTTATTTCGGAACTTTATACAAAACTAAATACAAAATATATACATGTACATGTGTATACGTAACATAAACGTGGTTCTAAAAAAAAAGTAATTTTTTCAGTAAATATTGCACCAGATTTGGAAACCTGTCGACTGGGCGTACAAAATATTGGAGGCGAAGCACGTAATTCTACGTCTACAGGACCATGCCTCCAGGAGAAATATAATTATATGAAGTTTCAACCAGAATATTCGTCAACCGTGTTTACATTCGGAAGCACGATAAATGTTTCATCCAATGTTCCGGACCACATTTCAGAATATCAATTTGGTATCGTTAACACAACGATTTCAGTTTCAACGAGAAATATCAATGGTATATATAAATATAAAATATTTTTTTTTACAACATTGTATTTAAATTAGTACATTTATCTATTGATATACTCTTCTGAAGTAATATTCTTTTATAATAATAAGATGGAGAAAGATGATATTGAATAATATAAACTTTCATTTATTTTTCCGAAGGCCATCAAAAGAACCAAAAGTATTTATATCTAAAGCAGACAAACAGTTGTTCCAGAAATAATTTTACCGACACAAATCCTATATCGACCATTATTACCTGTAAAATGACTATTGCAACACCATGGATTATACAAGATGGGGAACAGTAAGTAATTTAGCTTCCAAGAACATAAATATGAAATTTGTATGGAATCATGGATATACACAATATTTTACCATTTTAAAAATAAAAATGGCATTTATATTTCTTTTCATATTGTCAAAATGAGATGCTTGTGCCAAAATTTCACTGTTCGTTCATTAATGTAATTCAATATTCCCTAGCAATCGTTGCGCAGTGGTGTGAACGTGTTCTCTAAAGCAGTGAGGAAATAATCCTTACGTCGTGAATTTAATTCCTACTACGCGGAGACCGGTACAAGACCGTAAAACCGTGTCGCAGTAAGTAGCTATTGCTGACACGAAAATGAACACTCAACTGCCTCGAGTACCGAGCACAGGTCTTATTGCATCTCTCCAATAGCAAAAATTGCGTCTCAATATGATTGAAAAAGGTCTAGAAACTAAAACGAGACTTGCCTCAATGCAAAGTGTAGAAGCATATAGAAGCCGATTTATGTAGGGATCCATCTAATCAAAAATATCTATCAATTCGATGTAATGAACCGTCGATTTTGTTTAAACTGAGAACGCTAATCTCTAAATTGGATGTCCAAGTCGAATGATCGTAGACATCCCTAGTTAAAATTAATTAGATTCAATTTAATTAAAAAACCTGCGATGCCAAATCTGTTAAAATTTGTCATTACGAATAAAGATATTTCATACAGATTTAGAATTTTTTTTCGATTTTACAAATTTCAGAATTCATAATTTCAATTTGTTTAACTCCTTTAATCGGATTTAATATTTTAACGGTGCGACTGTTACGGCTACTTTAGATTTTTGCTAAGGTCCGTATCTTCAGTACGCATGTATAATTGGAAGTCGTGCCCCTCATGTCATATGTGGATTACCAAACCAAAGAATGATCATTGCTATATTGTTCATAAAATAGAACGTTTGAGCTACTATATACTCAGCAAAGGACAAGATAGGGTAACAGCCGAATCTGGCCCCTTATTTGATATAAAAATCAGAACAATGGTGATAGTTTGTAGTTCAGAAGTTAAAATGATCATAATTTTAATACATATGTACAAGCACTAATTTTGATTCAAAGCTTTCATAGAAGCCACTAGAGGACGCAGAAATACGGCATTTTCCAGAATTTTCTCAATTCTGGTGGAATTTCATCATATTTGGGATATATTTCTCTTCGGAAAACATAGAGCACAAGCTTGCCTATCTGAGATTTTTACACATAAACTGCATCTGATTTTAGTGTATAAAATATATAAATTTGGTAGATAGGCAAGCGTGTGCTCTATGTTTTCCGAAAGATAATGTCATGTAAAATTGATGAAAATTTGCATAAAAATGAGAAATTACGGAAATTGACCTATTTCCTGACCTCACTTTGGCCCCTGTATATTATAAATCTTAAAACCAATACTCATTTAGTGACAGGGGTGACAACAGGTTTTTATGGATAAACTGTTGGATCATTCTGAAAGACAGCCAAACTTGGGGGCCAAATACTGCTCTTACCCTATCTTGTCCTTTCTAAAATACAGGCGGGTTATATACTTTTTTTTACAGATGTTATAGCAAGAATATGCAAAGTCTAAATTTTCTCTAATTCGCTCAGGCGTTGCTCTTAAAAGCTGACAGTTACTAACAACTGTAACGCTGCTCACTGTGCTTGGTACAGATATTTTGAGCGAAATTAAAATAAAATATCTCTAAGAATTATTTAAATAAAACTTATAATTCTTGTTTTCACCCAAAATATTTAATAACATATTCTACTGTTTTATAAAGGCTTTGTATGGAGTTCACAGCATATGCTGGTGGATACCTGAAAACGAAGGATTTCCATGGGAACCCTTCACTCCCACATATCTATCGTACTACACAGTCGTCATATGAAGTGTGCATGAGACGAGACTCAGCCGCACCGAAACACTGTTTAGAAGATAATTCTTGTACAAAGAACGAAGTTATTCTCTTTGAAAATCGAATTACTAATTCGGCAGACTTAAACATATCACTCAATGGCTGGTTTGATCCTTATCGCTACACCCCTGAAGAAGCCTCTGGAATTCAAAGTTACTCAATTACAATACATGATATGAAAGAAGTAGATAAATCAACACTTTCGATGGACGAAGGCAGTTTATTAACTCTGAATATTTCAAGTGAAGTTGATTCAATTCAACTGCCTGATAAACAACCCGCATTGTACGGCGTTTCACTTAATATCCTTGATAATGCTGGTAACTTCAAACAAGCAAGACGATTTGTGTTGTTTGATAATTCATCAGAGATTCAAATCAATGCAGAAAACAAACTTATAGTATATACCGGAAACAAAGCAACAAACTTTACGTGGCAGACGAATCATGGCAAGATTTGTGTACGCTGGGATGAGCGATATTATAATTCTTTTCACATTCATCATAATTTGCTAAGAAAAATAAAAGCTGACTATCACAGTCTATATAATGGAGTTTATGAACAGAACAATGGTCAACTTCCAGTGAAAGGAACGCCAAATATTCATGGAATTCTTGAATTTCGTTACGTTTTTGCACTTAATAATAGAGTGTTGGATAATAAAACTGCTCCAAATTTCCTAAATCAGTCGATTTGTGAAAATTACAGCCTACGGGATGGGGAAACATATGATGTCACCCTTATTCCGAGAGATGTAATGAACAATACAATAAGGGAAACCATCGCAGTTCACATAGATGCAAGCGTACCTGACATTGTCGAAATGTACTTGATTAAAGATGGAGTGCGCCATTTGTTCGTTCACAATTCCACAGATCTTTCGAGAATGAAGATATCCTTTAAAGCTTTGGATGAACACAGTGGACTGAATTCTATTGAATGGATGCTGGGCACATCTCCTGATGGTGGGGAGCTAGGAAAAGGTTCCATTGCAGTGAATCGTCTGGAACCTGGGGTAAGTTTGATCCGTGAAGTGGTAGTATAAATATATTTGACCACATGCAATTGTCTTGCATGCTTAATTAATATCCTTGCTATGCATTCTAGGTTACTTGTAATCATACGGAAAATTGCTATTGCCCAAAAGTTGGAGTTTGTGAGAAAGCCCTGTACAGCGTGAAATTCAGTAGCTTGATCAAGAATAATAAACAGAACGGGCACCACAACCGGGGGTATTTCTTTACGGTGAAAGTAACTAACAATGCCATGTTGGTAAGTATTTCTAGAACGGATATCTTAGCTGATGATTCACCTCCCGTAGGTGGAAATGCTATGGAAGGAGAAATTGGATCCCAAGAGTTAGATTATACTTGTAATAGAGAAATAATCGTGAGGTGGAGCGGTTTCATTGACCATGAGAGTGGTATTAAAAAATATCGGATTGGATTCAATGACAAGTGTCTGTCAAGAGAAGATTTACTTCATAATAATCATACAACGCTTCCAAGTTATATTTACGAAACAAATGAGCAGCAAATAAAGGTACGTGCTCCCTACCCAGGTCTGTACTTTACCAGTGTAATAGCTTATAATTACGCTATGGAATCGTCGGAAGTGGCGTGCTCCAATGGTATTACCTACGATATCTCGCCACCAAAATTGTACAATATAATTTTAGAACACTCGAAAACAACAGAAGGCATTGCATGTTACAACAGGACTGCGTGGTTAATACTCCAAAATTTCACGGGTGTCAAATTAGAAATGACGCAAGCTTGCCAGAAAATATGCAACGACAGCAGTAACGAATTTCCGCTTTTGGAGAATATGTTCTATGTAAGACAAGATTATTATCATGATACATCCTACGCGGATTCAATATGCAAGAAATTAGGGGTATATATAAAAAACAATAAAGTATATATTCCCTCAGACACGATTTCTGTTTCTTGGAATATCACCGACTTGGAATCACAAATACATGACATTAAAATCGGGTTTGCATCAACTAAATCGCAATCTAAAACACCCGACATTTTATCTTTTACGCCCACTAAGCGTCTGCAGAGTGATAAACGATTGCATTCAGCACTTGACTCAGGAACTCCTTTTTTTATTACAATAAAAGCTACAAGTAAAGCTGGCTTGGAAACATCTGCAACAATAGGTCCAGTGGTAATTGACGATACACCGCCTTTATACAGAGGCGGTGTCAACATTGTTTTAGATGATAAGTTTGCATTTGTTGTATGGACCAATGAGACATTCGTTGACGAAGAACAGGATGAGCCAATATCAATGGTCTTATTCAAAATAGGTTTGTTGTCTAATAAATTGCATGGTAATTAAACTTTACTTTAATACCATATTTATTTATACTTTATTAATATTATTGATTTCATATATTTTAGGGCAAGGATCCACTTTTAAAACTCCACTTCTGCAAGGTTACCTTTCCAACAGCTGTCCAAATCCAACTGTTAATCTAACCTGCTTGAAGTATCCGATAAGAAGAATTCAGCAATTAAATGAAAATAATACTGTCTTCTTTTTTGAACTGTACGCTTATAATTCTGTTGGTCATGCAACAACTGTAAGAACAGTAGAATTCAGCGTCCCCTCACGATATCCTCCGACGGCAGGAACTGTTCTAGAAATAAGTAGCAATTTTCCCGGGATAGAAGATACTGATTATATAGAAAGTAATGAAGCAATCTGTTTCTATCTTTCTGGGTTCAAACACATTGAAACTGTTTCATTTGAAGTTGCTTATAGTACGAATTTAACTGATGATTTAATGCCATTTAGAACTCTGCCAAGTGCCAAATGTTTTTATAATCTTAGTCTACCGGAAAACACAAGAATTTACACTCTAATTAAAGCAACATCCTCTGGTGGTAGTACCATCTCCTCGTCTGATGGATTTTTTGTTATCAATGAATCAAAAGCCGAACACTCAATCAATGTTCATGATGGAATATCATGCAATTCTGTAGTACCCGACTATCAAGTAACTGCAAGTCTACACGGTCAAAGGACAGAAATTTCAATAAAAAATAAAAGCTTACTAACTGGAAATCCGTTTACACTTCAGATTTTGGGAACTGAATTAAACTTGTATGATATAAGTTCAGAAGATGTAATTTGGACTGGAAATTCCACTTACTCAGAAAATATATTAACAAAGCCGTTTGTCCCCATGATTGAACATCCACGATTTTTGATCAAGTTTCGGAAAATTCTCAACACAACTTTACTTGTTAAGATTATTAACTGTAACGAAAATGCGAAATTTCAAACTAATTCGAAGGTTTACTTTGCGTACTGGTCCACCAAAAATCCATATAAAAATTTAATAACCCACTTTAGAACTGGGTTACTTGTACAACGAGGGACTACTGAAAGCTTTATTTCTCCACTGCAAACAACAATAAGTCGCGAGAGAGCAAGATTTAGTGATGTATTGCTAGAAGATGGATTGACCTACAGGGTTATCATAGAGGCATGCTTTGAAAGACTCTGCATTCAGCCTCAAAAATCAAATGGGTCGAAAATGCAATATGAAACAAATTCCTTGAGCAAAATTCATTCCTTTCTTAAAAAATCAAATGATGACCTATTTGAATTAAAATTACAGTTTGATGGCTATCAATGTAGTGATAATTCCTATTCAGCTGGTTATGCAGTAGCTTTAGCAGATGAGAGAGGAGCTGAATTATCAAACTGGAAGCCTATAAGTATTAAAACAAATATGAAGAACATTACGGTGCGTAATTACATACCTCTTACGTATATAATATATTTCATTTCGGTTTTTTAAGATGTGTTATTCAAATTTCATTGAAAATGATAATAAATTTTTTTAAGCATTTACTTTTAATTTTCCTTTCAGACAAGCCTTCAAAACATTTCCCTGCCTGTTTACACGCAACACTCTCTGTCAGTATGTGTAAGAGGGTTTTGTTTATCTGGAACGTCTGCAATATCATGTCAACCGATAAAAGAAAAGGAAAATTCAAGTGATTTAAAATTTAATTACGTTTTCGAAATCAACGCAAACTCTCCCGACATTAAGGAGATAAAATTATTTGCTCATAGTCGATATCTTGGAGATAAATTGAAGGTGTTACATAATAATGAAGTTGATTTTATCCAATCAGACTGGAGAGTTAATGGTGTTCTCCTTGGTACATTTAATCGTACGATCATCTGGTACATCATGACAGAAGAGCGTCTTCCCTTGCGTTCTTGTACAGATGATGTCGCTTGTATTCAAGAGATTGTCTCAGAGGATTCTATTGGCTATTTTAAACAAATACAATTTACGAAGAACAAGAGATATTTTTTATGTGCTTTTGCAAACAAAACATTAGTTAAATATGAAAAATATTTAGAACAAGAAGGCCAGATATCTGTTTGTGGTAATGGATTCATAATAGATGATACGGCACCTATTCCAGGAAAAGTACACATCAAAGCAGATTTTGGAAATTTTTTGAATATGAACAAATCTTTATCATTTACATGGGAAGGGTTTTCAGACATAGAGCGAGATTTGATAATTGAATATACATCTGGAATAGAAAAATACACATATAGCATTGGTAATTATTGTTCATTACATAACTTATTTCAAAAATGTTGGTTAAACCTCTCAACCAATTTCTTATGTATATAATTTTAAGACGAGAATTCCTACTTGTATTTTTATAGGAACATACCCTGGTGGTGAAGACGTTGTGTCATTCACTGACGCTGGATTATTGACATCTGCTACTGTACACAGTATTTCATTCACAAACCATGTAGCATACTATGCAACGGTTAGAGGTGTGTGAAAATATAATTATCTTAACCCATCTTTGCAGAGAACTTAAGTATCGAATTCGAGGTAAAGTTAATTACTAATATATTTACACTTTCTCTCATTAAAGCTATTGATCGAGTTGGTCATATCACTGAGGTTTCATCAGATGGAGTCATGTTCGATGATTCTCCACCAGTGCAGGGAAGAGTTTTTGTTGACGGATCAGGACTAGAGGGATACATTACAAATTGTAGAGACATCACAGTCACGTGGGAGGGATTCAACGATCCAGAAAGTGGAATCAAGTCATTTAAAATAGGAATTGGCTCGACAAATCTTTCAGCAGATATTTTCCAATTGATGGAAGTTAGGGATACTTACTGGAAACCAAAAAATACTGATGGAAAATTTTTAGACGGATATAAATACTTTATTTTGTTAATGGTACGGAAAATGCGAATCAAGACGTTCACTTTTATTTTCCTTAAAATTAAACTTAGTCTATTAATATATCCCATTCATTATAGATAACTAACAACGCTGGATTATCTACTTTGGTCAGTTCAAGGGCATTTATTGTGGACGGCAGCCCCCCACATGAAGGGAATGTCATAGATGGAAATGAAGACGGGGTACGTAGGTCCCCTGTAGAAGGTCATATTTGACATATTATTTCTGGATCAACATTTACTGATATATCATTTTATTTGTAGATTGATCTAGATTTTCAACGGAATATCACACACATATGTTCAAGATGGGATGGATTTCATGATCCTCATACAAAGGTGACATATTATGAAATAGGTCTTGGTACTTCAAGAGGTGAAAGCGATGTGTTTCCCCTTACTTCTGTTGGACTAGTAGAAGGTATTTCAAACTTACATTGTATAAAAGAATTAACAATTTTTTTTGTTTGTGATGGTTTTAATTCATGTATGTTTATATGTGTATCTTTAAATGCAGAATTTTGCTGGGCTAATGAGTTTATTCCGGGAGAAAAGTATTTCACAATTATATGGGCATGCAATCAGGCGGGCTTATGCACATCAAAATCCTCGAATGGGGTAATTTTAGATAATTCACCACCAATAGCAGGACTTGTTCGCGTGAGCATGGGTGACAGTCATCAACATTATATCAGTCACAAGTGAGTAACATTTACATTTTCTGAGATAAATAAATTGCTTTGTATTAATATCAAAGTGGAGGAATTAATTTTCTTCGATTTTCTTCATTTAGACATATTGTATCCGCGCAGTGGATAGGGTTTCAAGACCCACATTCAGATATCGAACATTTCGAGTTTTGTATCAGCAAGTCAAGAAATGATTGTGATATTACCGCTTTTGAAAATGTACTTCTTAGCGAACGTATAACAAAAACGTCAATCGATCTACCACAAAGTACAAACTTATATATAATAGTGAAAGCATATAACCGGGTAGGGATGTCCAGCCAACAGTCATCCGAGAAGTTTTGCGTGGATACCTCACCACCGATACTGGTGACAAAACCTGTTTTTGATACTGCCCAGTTTTCACATAAATCTGGAACACAGTATGATGATTCTGTCTTGATTATCAAGTGGAAGTTCAAAGAGAAGGAGAGTTTCATTGCATCAAACGAAGTTGTATTAAAATCGCACAAAAATGGAAAGACCGTAACAGACATCAAAAGTAATGGAAATGATAATAATATCACAATTAAACTTGAAAAGGAAAATTCTTTAAAGAGTGGAGACACGTATTATGTATTTATATCTAGTTGTAATGCAGCTGGGTTGTGCACTCATGCGTCATCAGATCCTCTTCTTATTGATTCGTCTCCCCCACAACTCGGCGGTTTTAGGAATCTATTGAAGTGGAAACATTTTGAAAATAAAACTACTGAGCTCTTGCTCTTGTGGCATGGTTTTTCAGATATCCACAGCGGAATAGAAAGGTACGGAGTGTTCGTCAGCGAATCATATACAGGTTCAGAATTATCAAATGGAGTAATAATTGTAGACCACATAGATAGAGAAATTCAAATGCTATCTCTTAATTTAACACGACAATTGTCTGAAACAGATGAAATTATTTTGTCAATTTATGCGCTGAATGGAGTGGGTCTTAGAAGTAAAATTGCTAAAACAACTGTTGCTTTAGTTTCAGACGATATTTCACATGTAAGTGGTTTTCTAGAATTTCAGCGTTATTTATGTCGATCACATACTTGTAATAACGATTGCACTTGTTCAGTAGTAGGATCTAAATGCCAAGATGAGTCGCTCAAACCCGGTGCCTGTAAGAGAATTGATAATCATGCAGAAATGCCTATGGTTTCATTTGGAGATGCAATGTCATCGTCAAACTTAACTCTGTCATCAAAATGTGTCTTTGTACAATGGAAAGTAAGAAACATGACAAGGTTTCAACGCTTTGAATGGAGCATTGGAATTCAACATGAAGAGGCAGGTGTAGGTGTGTTTGATAGTAAGACAGAAAGTGTCTGGCGTGAAAACGGACAACTCATGAACACAACATTCTGCATGGAAAACAAAAACCGCTTTCAACAAGGGGAGTCCTACGTTTTTTACGTTCGAAGTTGGATTTCGGAGGATACTTATTTTGAAAAGCAATCAGAACCTCTTCTTGTAGATACAACGCCTCCAGCAATTCGACAAGGAAAATCGATTAAAGAAACGCTCTTTTCATGCAATGAAGAAGATGTTGACTTTTTGAACTCGACTTCAGATTTTTTTGTTTGCTGGGATGGTGTATTTATAGAAAAGGGAGCTCAGATTACGAAATATTCTATATCTTCAGGATCATCACCGTTTGGTATGCATGAGGATTTTTTTATTACTTGTTTCTAATTTGAAATTTGAATTTTTTATCTTGAATCTGTAGAAAAAAATGAACTGATTTTATTGTTATTTCAGGAAATGACCTTATCGATGTACAAAATGTAGGACATTTAACATCAATTCTAGTAGAAGGAAAGCTTCTAAAACCAGGTGTTACGTTTTACTTTACAATAACAGCCACAAACAAGCTCGGATTGAAAACATCATTTACCTCAGATGGAGTTCTTATAGATTTAGATAATCCAACGAGAGGAATTGTTTATAATACCAAATTCCACAAAAACATTGTATATCAATCATCAACAAGTGAGATAGGTTTATCATGGCATGGTTTTGATGATCACAATTCCTTCATAAAAAAATATCATGCAACTTTGTTTGGAGAGGATAAAAACGAAACAATAAGAACCGTCATCGATGCTAAAATTCATAATAGCTACATATTCCACAAATTATCGTTAGAGCATAATCGGAGATACAGAGTTGCATTGATTGCATTTGATGCAGTGGGACATTTTGTTGGACCAGTATATGCACAAGATTTGAAAATTGATAACACGCCCCCGCAGGGTTTTCGATGCACTCAGAGGGGGGCTATATCTTTGGCGAGAGTAAACACAACAAAATCTGTATTTTGGACAAAGGTGCGTTTCCGATATCAATTGTCTGCTAATCTAAAGGCTGGGGAGATTCACCATTTGTCTGTAAAAGCAGATGTCTCAGTGTTGTCAAAGAGCATTTATGTACTTGTTGGAGGAGAGAAAGCCATGATAAATTTGTTGCGTAATATTGATGATGACGTATTTGCTGAGCATATGTTTATACCAAAATTTACTGGCACCACTGATATTTCGATTTTTCTATCTTCCAAAGATATCAAAAGTACGATAGTCATAAATTTACATCAGTGTCTCTCGCATGAGCCATCGTTGGATCCGATTGCTCTTGTGCAGGTTTTACCAAACTACGTCAGTGTTTCTTTACAAATTAAAGACATCGAAAGTGGAATAAAATCCATTTACCTTGGTATTGGAACAACAAGAATGGGATATCAAGTAAGGTCATTACGTCCATTTTCAATGGGACTTCAGGAAATCGTAAAAACCGATGTTCGGCATAACAGCAGTCTTTACTTTACCGCTGTTATTGAAAATAAAGCATGTCTTAAATCAACATTTCATTCAAAGCCTATTTTAATTGATCATTCGAAACCGGAGATTCCTAGTATAAAAAGCAATGTAACATACAAAGAAATTTCCGTGTTCAGTGAAAATTCTACCAATGAATTTAAGAACACATCATTGAGATTTATAGAAAAAAGAACGCGGACTACTGTTAATGTCACATGGGAGGTAGTGGACAAAGAGAGTGCAGTTCGTCGTTGTGAGTGTGGGGTTGGTAAGTTAAGATTTTCTGAAACCTGAAACTAAGAGTTAATGTACGATTCCTTCCTTGCATTCAAAAGATAAATCTTGTTCTTTCTTTTAGGAGTTCTTCCTTTCTCAACATCAACAGTATCTTTAAGAAAGAGCGACACGACCATGGGCTGTATCTTTTCAAATCTTGATATTCGACATGGAACACGATTGTTTATCACAGTACAATGCACTAATGGTGTAGGACTTCGAGAAACGAAAACCCACGGTCCCATAATAATATCTATCAATAAACCAGACGAAAAGGCGGCAGAAGTTAGTTTCATACCCAATAATAAGATGTCCGTCGAGCATGCGGAGCCTCTGATTGAAACTCAATCCAATAGATCCAGCATTACGTTTTTATGGAATGGGTTTTCTGATATTTCTGGTATCAGTGAATATGAAACTAGACTATTGAAAGAATCTAAGGTTATTTCATCATGGAGATCAGTTGGACTTAAAACTTACACTTCATATGATATCCATGCCGCTGATGGCGATATCTATACTGCTGAAGTGAAAGCATTAAATCTTGGCGGGCTTTTGAGTAATGCAAACAACAAAAGTATTACAGTAGATGCAAGAAGTCCACAGTTGACAGGTATGTATGCATTAAGAGAGTGTAAATAGTATTATATTATTCTATATGTGTGTATACATTTTCATATTTTGGAGTCATTGGTGCATTTTATTTTTGCGCTAATGCATCAATAACACATGAAATTTTTTTTACCTAAATATAAAATGCTGTCTGAGGAACAATATCAAGCAACCATTTACTTTGATTGTGATAAATTTTATATATTAGTGTATACTAAATGGAGGTATTTGTAAACAAGTGAAAAAAAATTATAAATTTTCTCTATTTGTCAAATTATTTCTTTTATATTTTGATAATAGATCCAACAGACTCAAAAGACAAAACACAGAAAATCATTTATTTAACTATTCGATGAAAAAAGTAAGGAGATCTTATTGCATTTTTACTCTACATATAGGTGACAGCTTGGTAGTGAGGAAAATATCAACAGGCAAATACATGATCGATTGGTCAAACGTCTTTGAGGGCACTGCGAAAGGTTCTACCGCATTTATCGTCTCCGTTGGAACTAACAGAGGATATTCGGATTTACAGTCCCCGACTTACACACAGCAGCATTCGATGCCCGTGAACACGGACGATGCGTCTATTATATGTAATGGATATATGCCGAATACTGTTCTATATGTAAAATTATCAGACTGTTTGAGGCCCGTTAGGGCCGAAAACTGTCTGATAATTTTACATATAGAATAGTATGAGGCATATATCTTACTTAAAACATTGCCATTTAAATGTCCAAAAGTTACCTAGGGTAGTCCGATAATAACACAATGGGAGTTTAGGCATCCATTGTTTTCTACCCGTCTGATAAGTAGATAAAAGAAATGAGACAGTAAAAAAAGTGAGTGAACTCTTGTTTCATTTCATTCATTCAATGGCAGTCGTTTAGTTTAGCAGGAGGGTCCGGTGGTGAAAAATATTTGGGGGAACAATTTTATTTATGATGTGCATAAATTGACATTGATACCAACATAATTTTGGGTGATATTATAACCATCACCATGGAAAGTAAAAAAGCGGATTTTTACCCTGAAGTTTTAGTTTAGATAATGGAAATATTCTCAGGTTTTAAAAGTGTGGCCATCGGGGAACAAACATAAAATAAGGAGTTTTGCAGACTCTTTTGCAGAAATGGATTTAAATTCGCTTATTCAAAGTGCTGCATCAAAAATTCTTTTAAAGAGTGGAAAGCATTAATTTTGTGGAAGGTTTAAACTTCTTTTTTTTCATGGATTTGCTATTTTGTAGCAATTTAATTTCCTTGCGTTTGCTTTCCCTGAATTTGTTTCCTAGCATTTTTATTGGGGGTTTCTGGACATATTTGACCTTTATTTCACTCTTCTTTTTGTTTTTTAAATACCGTCCGATTTTGTTATCATTGCCGTCCGATATTATATTATCAGACTGGTAATTATTATTATCGGACGGCTACAGGTAAATTTTTAGACTGCAAGAACAAAGGCATGACGTCACAGCAATGTTTTAAATATTAATATTCGGGGTATAAGTCCAACAGGAGAATCGCGCATATATCACATGGTATATGCCACAAATTGAATTAAAATAGGCTTTTCATCTACTGATCATTTGATATAATCCTTGTTTGTAATTCATTACATTTTAAATTGACCTTAAATTTATCCAGTGATGTTTAAAAGATATTTAGACAATGTTTCATCAATCTTGATTTTATGCATTAAATATATGTGTACTTTTTTTAATGAATGGTTCATTTTCCAAACAATGGTTCTATAATGGAAATTAGGATTATATGATTAATTTAAATTTTAAAAATTAGGACTCATGAATAGGAAATATTAACACGTGTAGCTTTCATTTGTGTATATTTTGAAAAGATGTAGACAATGTAAAGATGTTAAAGTCATTGATTTAAAATTCCGTCCATTTCAGTTTTACATATTATTGTTTTGTATTACAACAAGTCATTTGATTGAGACCAGCAATATTTATTCAAGCAATATGTTTAAATTTCAAGGTGCATGTTATTTTCATTTGTGTCATTATTGCTTAATGTTTAAAGATATAATGATTTGTAATGTATATTTATTTCATTGTATAAAAGTTTTAATCCAATAAATCTGAGTTTATTTTTACAAAAGCTCGCCCGAATATTTGTATTCTTGCATTTATTTAATAGATTAAAAAGTAAAAAAGAAGTTGATCATGACGCGTCCTTACAAAATGTTCGGAGCTCGAATTAATCAAGGAATGTTATAAGTTTTGAGTGATTTTTTGATGTGGAAGTCACAAAGAGCTCTTAATTACAGTTAGGTATATTTTATGAAGCATGTTAGAGCTTCCTGAAAACGTATGCCTACATGCGAATCGGTTATTTATATATCAATAATTCACGCAAAAGTTTAACGCATTTATATTTTACATGGTCGCAATGCATGCATCTGTGAAACCCCAGTCACATTTCCAAAACGGCCGACGGGTTTTGAAGCTAAAATGGGATTCTTTGTGTGACAATTGGCAGTTCATCGGCCGTTGTCTTGCCCGATTTTGACCTCTTTTTTTGTCAGGGACCAATTTTGTGTCCATCGGTCCAAGTCATAATTTTTCTACGTCGGTGGCCGATTTCTTCAAATAAAGTTATCCGTCGACCAACCTTCGAGCATACCGAAAGTAACATGTTTCTATCTGGAGCTTTTCATGAGAAATTTACCGGACAACCCCACCAAATAAAAGTAGCTAAATCAACAATGTCTCGGGACAGGAGATGACGTCATCCAAACGAAATAAATGCACAAGGTTCAAGTAATGATAAATAAATCCTGAAAGTTTCACAAAAATTCCAAAGCGTTTGTGAGAAATCGCGTGCACAAAACGTTAAGTGATATATGATAGTATTTTTTTTGAGTCAAAAGGTTTTAGTATATGCAATAGGATATAAAAGCTATAAAAATTAATAAAATAAATGTTCAACGTATGACCCAGTAGAAATTTATTAAGTTGTTTAAATGACAAATTAAATTTTAGTCATTTCCTGATTGTGTAGAAACCTTTCAATTACTTCTTGAGGAAGATATATAAACAATTTTCGTGGAACGTGTCGTCTGTACTTAAATGTTCATAAAAGACAGACAACCATACATGATATACCCAGTGCTTTACTAAATCCTGAATGCGCCATCATATCATTAGTTGTAGTATACACTCACCGACCGTCATTTACAATGTTCGTCAAAACATGCATCAATCAGACAATGCGCAACATTTAGCTTAAAAATTAAAATTAACGTTAATAGGTAAACTACTTATAAATCTTAGCAAAGACTATCCTAGTGCATAACCTAGAATGTAACAATATTTTTGATTTATCAAATTTAAAGTAAAAGATGTACATGTCTTATGGTTAGATGTTTATTTAATTGAAGATTTCATATATGAAAAATAGGAAGTTTTGATTTTCAGTATAAAAATCTATAAAATACACACCCTCAATTTACATAACCTCTCCTGCACACACTTGTATACACGACAAAAACACCCTAACACCCACCCATACACATAATAATTCCAATGAATGATTTACATGATTTAAATTCACGAATCATACTTTTCTCCATCATTCTTTGGTTCTTAGTGACCCTTAATAGTTTAAACTTATAGTATCCAATCCAAAACTGACTCTAACGTATATATTCGAAGGAAAATATTTTTATGACGGTTAAACTAAGGATTGTTTTGTTATTCTCCATGACTTTATTGAGACACTCCAAGATCGACAATTACTTGATCGAAGAGGAAAAATTACTATAGAAATGAGTACAGTTAACATAAAGGTTAACTTTGAACTAAAATATGTAAAATAGCATGTATTTGTAAGGAAGAATAAAAAAAAAAGAAATATATCTTAGGGATAGTAAACTTAAATAATCGTTGTATAAATATCGTCATCGGCACAAGTTCCCAAAATAGCTTCATAGTCTCCATCTGAATCATCCGCCTTGCACAACGTGTGAGCTGCCTGAAAATAATAATAATAAGGTATATATAACTGTTACAATTATTTCTATATAATGCCATATGTTTCACTATCGATTATTACATGTAGACGGTCCTTGTATTTAGCAAAATTGGTTAAATGGTATTTTTAAACGAGAAATTCGATTTATCAAATTAAATATAAAAATACAGATTTTATTTTTTTCCCCCTATTATTCTAAGCTCTCTGATAAAAGCATAACTTGTGTTACTTTATATAAATTCTTAAAAGTTATCGATTTGATGTTACTAAAAATGAACATAATCTTTAATAAACTAACAAAAGTGCCGATTTTACAATCTGTTTATGAATCTACTTTATATTAAATAATTATATATTCTAAATCTTTTTATAAATATAATGAAACGGATATAGTCATTGAAATAATTACATTCCCTTAATTACTCAATCAGTATAGAAAGGAGACATATTTAGATCAAAAAGCTTATTTTTCATCTTCAGTATGAGTTTAACGAGAAGACAGAAGAAATTTGTGGCTTTTTTTTTTATTAATTTCACATTTTTATTTGTCAATATTTGAAAAACGATAATTTAACAAAAGCAACGCTTTCAGTCGGTCAATTCATAGATATATCGACTTCACAAAAATGCATACCGACCTCGCAGATATACTTTTCTGTGAAGACGATATATCTATGGATCGACCTCATGAAAGGGCTATAGTTGTATAAATTATTACACATAGCAAAATTAATACAATATCTTGTTTTCTTGTAAATTGTACATACTTTATTTTGCTCTGAATTATCAATGTTCCCATAAAGGGGGATATTGTAAGAGGGGTTTTCGAGAGCATCCCCATTTGTTACATTTGCCTCATTATTTCGTCTGTTTTTGTTCCCCCTTTCTTTGGAAGCTATCATGATCACAAAAACAACAAACACCACAACTCCGGCCACAGAAGCTGAGACAACTATGGTGCGCGTAATGTCTTTATCTTTTGAAACAGAATTTTCAAAAGAATTTATCGAATCTTTTTCCAAATCTGAAACGGTAATTCTAAAATTAAGAAAATAGGTATGAAAGATCAGTTGTAATATCATGGGTACTCTCCCTCTCTCTCTTTCTCTCTCCCTCCAAAATCAAACACGAATAGGTAATTTTACTTTTTTAAAATAATTGCAGCAATAAAGACAAAGATAGGGAGAAGAACGCTTGCCTGCTGCACAAATTACTCCAGCGTCTTTACTGTGGTAGCAATTTTTGATATCCAAAAGTGTAAAGTTACAATGAAACAAATCCACCTCATCACCATTGCACTTGACATCATTCATCAAGATCTTTCCAGTTTCGTACCCAAATACAGAAGATGTAAAGGCGGTAGCATTCTCTCTGTATCAGAATGTAAACATTATGTTGTTTAAAATGATTATAATTAGGGCAGGACATAGTGTTGACTTGATTATTATCAATGCAAAGGGTGTCATGGAATTACCAACAAAAAGATAAAAGCTCTAGTAATTGGTATTCTGACATTAATTTTGTTGCATCAGAAAAAAATACAATTATGATTCTTGAAATGACGAAACAATTTATTTGCCTTAAGAATCCCAGCATGAAGCACACGGCAGCAGCATCTCTATCATCCCATCCGTCGTTGCAAACTGTTCCCCATGAACCGTTATAGAAAACCTTCACTAGTCCTTCTGCTGGTGTCTGACCACCTACCAGTTTTATTTTATCTAGAAAAAACATTATTCGCTTTTAAAGGTATGAAGCATTTGAACCTACAAATACATGTACAGTTAAATAACAGACAAAGGCAATCCTTTATACATGTAAAATTTAATTTGGTGGAAACTGCAGTTTGAAGGCCATTTATTTGGAAACATCAGTAGAACTAAAACAACGGTAATTTAGAAATTGATATCGGCATTTTCTTTTGCACATAGATCAAATTATTTTTACATGTACTATGTAATATCTTTACGTGCATGTATCTCACATGTTTTAGATTAAAAGAAAGTTTTACATTTATATCAAAAACATGTCTTGATTATCTGTTTTCAGTAAATATATTTATAATGGAATTTTGTTTAAAAGTGCATTCAGTATCCAGTATGAAAACAATTTGTTTTATATGTGCATATACTAATAATTTGATTTTAAAATAGATTAATCAACTTTGTCTTGACAGTACGACCAACCTTGTGTACAATTGACTGCTGCGTAATAGTTTTGACTACACTTTTGTCTTCCTAATGTTGAGTATCTACATTGAAATATATCTAATTCACTTCCTCTGCAGTTAACGTCTGTCATCCAAACGATATTGTCTTGCTGGCCAGCGATTCGGGAGGACTCTGCAGTCGATCCTTTTCTAAAGAAATTTAATATTTAAGACATGAAAACTGTAGCATGATTTGTGTACGTTCATATTCAAAGAAAACTTAGGTGAGATATTAGGTCGATGATCTCTCTCTCTCTCTCTCTCTCTCTCTCTCTCTCTCTCTCTCTCTCTCTCTCGTTGTCTTGCCTTGAAAATCCAAGCATTAAACAGACAACAGCAGCGTCTTTATCGTCCCAGCTGTCATAACAAATTGATCCCCAAACACCTTTATACATGACCTCCACTCGACCTTCAGTTGGCGATGATCCATCAACAAGTCTGATTTTTTCTGTAATTAATAAATTAAAATTAAAGGTAAATAATGCCATATATTTATATGTTCCCATTTTAATGACAAGAGCCCTGAACAACATTTTACATTTCAAAACACCAATTTTTCATCCAACCCTCATTAAATCTTCTAAATAAAATACGAGTCTGTCTTCTATCTTACTTCCCAAATTTATTGTTGAGTTCTTAGAAACTGCTTTTTGGACTTCGAGAAAAATATTTCATTTAAAGGTGCGCATATTGAAATTTTTTCATACATTTGTAACATTGCGTACATGCCTTATTGTTCAAAGACAATGAACTATATCTGCAAGCAGCAATCACTGCACTTTACTTTCATTAAATAGATTGATTGTGCATTGTTTAACGTCCCTCTCGATTTTTTTTTAATTTTATTCAAACGCCACCACTTGCCGGTGGATAGCTGCAAATTTTGTCCTATACTCGGCACTGAAGGGCATTGAGCAGGGAGGGATCTTTTTCGTGCCAGCACCTACTGCGACACGGGACCTCGGTTTATACAGTCTCTGCACTTGAAAAAAATCAAGTAAAATAATTTAATTCGATTTCTTAATCTTGGTCTTATATAATGCTAAAAATATTTTAATGTATTACAAATTCTGCGATTAAGTATAACTTTTCTCTGATCATAGTATCTACTTAAAATGTGACCATTTGCAAAATAATCTAAAGAGGGCACTGACCTTACAAAATGATTGCCTGCTCCCATATGAGAATAATTGCTGAATACCTGTTTTGTTTTGATTTTGCGATTGAAAAACCTTTAAATCATAAAAATAGTAGATACACAACAGAATTATGTAATAAAGATTCTGGAAATGTCTAATTATATTTCATTTATTGGAATAGGAGGATTTGATTATTACAGATGGATTCCATCAATATTGGAAAGTCCGGGATCTGCTAGCCTGAGGTAACCCAAATAATTGTCCAATTGATCCGAAAAGATTTTGTGAAAGTTTCAGTAATTTTATTGATTGATTAAGGAGTAGTTAGAGTAAAGACATGGATACCCCCATGTTATAGAAAGCATAACAGGTCCATAATTGCTGTAATAACAACGTAATAAAAATGCCCAATTGATACGACGAAGGTGCACAATGGGAATATGCAAGAAACATTTTGTGAAGCTTTCATTATTTTTATCGGTTGTTTAAGTTTTGCGGATACTAGATGTACACGCACTTCGTTATAAAAAGAATGAAAGTGTCAATGGTTTGCTATGACAACAAAAGATTCACAATTGTGTTATAGGTAATAAAAATTCTTCTGGTTTGTAAAACTTTCAGAATTTTATTTAGTGGGATAGGAGGAGTTGTAGCTAAAATGCTGCAACTCTTGTTATTCTTTAAATGTCAGTCTACATGTTTTTCTATTAAGAACCCCAAATATTTGTTCAGTTGAATAACAAAATAGATGGTGCCTAATGGAACCAGTTTATGAAGAGTGCAAGTCTCATTAAATTCGAATGAGCGGTACATATATACTGTATGTGAGGATTTGCGAATAGGATGAGAGTACCCCATCCATATGATTTAATAATAGTGAACATGTCCACGTCTTTTATGGGAAACCAAAAACATCTGTCCCATCGAATAGAAAAATTGGAGTTCCACATTGAAACTATGCAATAAAGAATCTGTAAAATTAAAAAATATATTTATTTTATTTAGTGGCCTAGGGGGAGCATGAGGAACAGGTATCTCAATTATTACAGTAAGAATGGCAGTTTCTATGTTTTGTGATGGGAAGCCTCAAATATTTGCTGATTAAAAAATAAGGTGCACAATTGCATTAAGTAACACGATTCGTGATCATGGAAGTTGTTTTAGCAAGAGGAGAAGTTACGGATAAAAGATTGGTATCTCAAGTAATATGGATATACGGAAAGACGAACTACTCATCATTATATATCTCCTATTAATAAATGTTTTGCCTGGTGCACAAATAACTCCAGCATCCTCGCTATGTCCACAATTCTCAGTCCCAAGTTTTGATTTTTTACAATACGCTATGTTTCGGTCAAATTCACTGCATTCTACGTCATCCATCCAGATTATTCCTTTTCCTTCCCCGAAGAAAGCTTCCCTCTTTGCAACTGCATTTATCCTTAAAACAAAAGTTGAAAAAAAGTAAAACAACTTTTAAATTAAAACAAGATGTTTTTGTGAAACACTGATACCCCCGTATGGAAACATAGCAAAAAATTTATATTTTCTTAAATGCGAATTTAATATAAAGATACCAAAAGTAGGGTATCCCTACTGGAAATACAATTGTGAAACATGAAAGTAAGCCAAGGTTTAAGTTTGTTCATAAGTATGAAAATTTCCACCGTCAAGGTCAAAAGATCAAAGGTAATTGGTATCCAATAAAAGGTCTTGTTTTAAAAAATGCTTTTGTGAAGTATGGAAGCCCTAACCCTTCAAAAGTTATGGCTAAGGTTAAAAATTTTAAAAAGAAGGTCAAACTCCAAGGTCAAAGTCAAATGTAAAGTATGAAAGCACTACTTCTTACCCTTTATAAGTTATAGACAATGTTTACTTTTTAAAAGTACATGTACAAATGTAGGTCACACTCCAAGGTCAGGGTCAAAGGTCAAATTTCTTGGTATCTAATAAGGTGTCTTTTCAAAAAATATTTTTTGTAAAAGTGACTCAAACTCCAAAGTACATAGGTCAAATTTGAGAAAGGTCTTGTCACAAAGAATACACATGTGAAATTTTAAAGTCATAGCTCCACTTAATCAATAGTTATGGGCAAGGTTAAAGTTTTTACAGTCAAACGGACATATAGAGAGACAGACAAACAGACGAACGGACAAGACAACAAGAGGCCCAGGGGACACAGCGCTCACCTGAGAACATCAGCTAGGAAAATGCACATATCATGAATTGGAAGAACTAAAATCTACACTACCTGAGGATAATTCTACATAAATATTACTAATCATGGCTTTGAAGTACATGAAAAGAAGATTTCAAAAGGTTTTTCCAATGTATTCCTATGAGAATATTTGGTCGACCATTTTGGCCCCACCCCTACACCCAGGGGTCATGATTTGAACAAACTTGAATCTACACTACCTGAGGATAATTTCACATGAGTTTCATCTTTCCTGTCTCAATGGTTCTTGAGCAGAAGATCTTTAAAGATTTTTTCTTTATATTCCTATGTAAATCTTTGATCGGCCATACTGGCCCCACCCTACCTCCAGGGTTCATGATTTGAAAAAAACTTGAATCTACACTATCTGAGGATGATTCCACATGAGTTTCATCTTTCCTGGCCCAGTGGCTCTTGAGAAGAAGATTTTTAAAGATTTTTCCTACGTAAAACTTTGATCAGCCATTTTGGTCCCACCCTACCCCCGGGGGTCATGATTTGAACAAATTTGAATCAATCTACACTATCTGAGGATGATTCCACATTCATCTTTCCTGGCCCATTGGTTCTTGAGAAGAAGATTTTTAAAGATTTTTCCTATATTTTTCCTATGTAAAACTTTGATCGGCCATTTTGGCCCCACCCTACGACCGGGGGTCATGATTTAAACAAATTTGAATCTACGCTATCTGAGGATGATTCCACATGAGTTTCA